GCCTGACTGTTTCCTTCTAAAAAAAATAAACCACTGTGTCATTTTGGAGATCCTGACTCTGACACCCCAGAGTGAAAAGAAGTATTCAGGGGCCATTTGCACCTGCGAATAGTTGCCCTTCTCATCTTGCTGTAGCTGGATGATGTGGATGCTGCTTGCTCCACACAGCTTCTGCAGTTATGTAGAGCTGGACTTGGCCACATTTTAAGAGTACTGGGCCAGACTGTTTTCTGACCAAGTTAACCTCTAACTTGGGGGGTAGAAACTGGGCAGCAGTTGTGATGTCACTCCAGTCTGAGGCAAGATGTTGCCAATCATTTTACCGATCATACCTCACCTTTGTGCCAGGTGATGACTCCGTAGTGTCTGTCTGAACATGGCCTTTGCTTTGGTGCAGGTATTTTGGACACTGCCATCGTGGATCGGGGAAGAAATGTCCTTTCCTGCTCTAGAGACGGCACTGCCCGCCTCTGGGACTGCGGAAAATCCGCCTGCCTGGGTGTCATCGCTGACTGTGGCTCTCCTGTCAACGGCATTGCTGTGGGCACAGCTGACGACTCGCTGAACCTGGGCACGCCTGAAAAAGCTCCTAGTAAGGCTCTTTCTCTTAAAATTCATCTTCATTCCCCTGTCCCAAACCTCTTCGGTTTGTCGCCAATAACCACAGCGTGTGACGTGTTGCTCTGTGCCCTTGTACCACCTGGGGAAAGGAATGAGGGTCGTCAAAATAGAAGCATTCCAGTCCTGAAGAGGAATTGGGCCATATCAAGCAGTTTAAGTCTGGAATCTCCTTGATTACTGGCCTGCCTTACTGGTTCTGGTGTCTTAGGGTATGGGGGAATGCCCTGATAGGTAGAATAGACTGTTTCAGTTGGAAGGGCCCTACAGTGATCATTTAGGGCCCGATCAATTTGGGACTGACCAAAAGTTAAAGGATGTTAAGGCCGTTGTCCAAATGAATCTGACAGGCTTGGAGCATCAATCACCTCTCTAGGATGCCAGTTCCAGTGTGTGACCGCCCTTTTGGTAAGGAAATGCTTCCTAATATCCAGTCTGAACCGCCCCTGGCACGACTTTGAACCGTGATCCAAACTGTCGGGTTTTGGGTACCCTCAAGACTTGTTGCTGGGGTTCACTTATTGTCCTTTTTTCAGGTGAACGTGAGGTTGGGACGGAAGGAAAAATCCTGCTGCTGGCTCGAGAAGACAAAAAACTTCAAGGAGTGGGACTGCAGAGCAGGCAGCCGGTAAGGAGCCTGGGACTCTCCAAAGGACTTGCCTGGGGAGATGCGCTGAGATGCTGCTACAAAACCATCTCTGGAGCCCCGGTCCCTTCGCTTCCATTGCTGCAGTAGCTCCTCAGTTTGTTATCTGCTGATCGGGTAGCTGTGCAGAGCGCTGTGCTGAGGAGTTAAGCCAGGCTAAACCTAGATAGTTTAACCTATCTAGTTACCTAAATAGGTAAACTAGTAGTATTATCCCCACTCCATTCCCCAGTGAGATTCACCTTGTGGCACACAAAGGGGTAGAATCAGGCTGGAGGCAGGGAAGGGCTGATCCATCTGTCTTTGGTCTTACACCACAGTGTTCTCCCCAGTATGTATTCCTAAAACCTGGTACAACTGAGGGTTTTTTTTTTTTTTCTCTCTTTACTGGCCGGATTTTTATGTGAGGGTTTGAGGATGTTGAGGGTTGGGGCTGGACTGGCCGCTAAAGGCTGACAGGTGCTCTCCAACCCCTCTCCCTCCCCAGATGGGAAGGAAAAGGGAATGAGGCAGAGACACTTAACGGATTGGAAAATTAAAAGAGCTTTAATAAAGAAGTAATCGTACTGATAAGGAAATAATGCAAAGAGTGAGTTGTATAAAATGTTCACGAATCTGATATCAATCGCCAAGGATGCTCTGAGCAGGTGAGCTTCAGGCTCAGCGGCAGAGGGGAACCGGGCACAGGGGCTGGATTCGGGAACTCGGCATCAAAGGCAGAAAATCAGACAGAGTCCTCCTCAGACGCTGCTCATTAGAGCAATCAAAAAGAAAAAAAGCTGAGGGATCATGGGGGTTAAGCAGCTTTATATTGAAAATGATGTGCATAGAGTGGAATACTTCTGTTGGTCACCTGGCCTGTCCATTGCTCCCTGGAGGTGCCACTTTTTACTTTCTGGCACCCCCAGCGTGGCACACGAGATCTAGCAGTGACCTTGGTTATTACAGGAGTAAGTGTAAGCAAAAGCCTTTCTGTATCCCAATCCCTGGTACGAATCTTAAACATCAGGTGTTACCGCTCCTTAGTGGCAGACACTGCCACTAGGAAGTGGCAAACCCACGCTGTTTAACATCAGAAAGTGCAACCTCTGAGAAGAGACTGAGCTGTAAAGTAAAATCACTGAATGGAGTTGGTTTTGTTCAGCTCAAACCAGGACAGAGGAGGAAGTTGCGAACGATTTAACCCAGGTATGAAGACACTGTTTGAATTTAGACAGTGACCAGCAGATGTCATCCTGCATGCAGGAACTGCAGGCTGCCTCATCCGGCCAAGGTCGAAAATTGGATTTTATTCTGGTGGATGTTTTAAGTAGAGCGTGAAGGGGACCTGGGGTGGTCACGAATCTGTCTCCCACCCCTTGGCAAAGGGAGATGGAGTTGATAAGTCTCAGGTACTGATGATCTTACCAAGAGCATCCTGGGCAGTTGGACAGGAGCTCCTGACGATGTAACAGACTGAACTGCTTGTGGTGAGGGGTTTTTTAACCTCACTCTGGATTTGCCAGCTTGTGCCTTGACTCCTGAAAAAGAAGCGTACTGACTTTTAAATAAATTACTGCTGCCTTCTCCCTGGTGTCCTGTGTCCTCATCTGTGTGGCTGTGACACTTGTGATTGTTCCTTTGTCTGCCCAGGTGTTCCTCTTCGTTGGATCGGATGCCTTCAACTGCTGCACGTTCCTCTCCAGTACCTATATCCTAGCTGGGACTCAGGATGGGAACATCTATCAGCTGGATGTGAGAAACACAAAGTGAGCATGTGCCCCGGGGCTGTAAATAATTAAATGGCAACTGCTTTGAGTCAGGTTGAGGGTGCTGCCAGGCAGTGGTCCCTCTAAAGGGTGGGAACAGGACAAAACATGGCACCGCGAGCATCTCGCAGCCCTTTCTGTCTCTTGGAGAGCACGGAGGAGGGCACTTTTGCTCAGGTTGGTGATCTGATGGGATTATCTCTGGGAAATCATAGAATGGCTGAGGCTGGAAGGGACCTTAGAGATCATTTTAATCCAGCCTCCCTGTCACCAGGGAGGCCACCGGTCGACTAGATCAGGAAACGCATGGGGACTGAATGGGAATTGAACCCGTGACCTTGGCGTTGTTAGTGCCACGCTCAACTGACTGAGCTAACCCTTCTAAAAGACCATAGGCCTTGTGCAGGTTCCTTTAGTTACTAAAAAGCTTTTCAGTCTTAACTGATTGCCAGAAGTGCTCTTGGCATAGCCTTACCCCTCAGGTTATTGCTTTTTTTTTCTTTTTTTTTTAGTGTGTGTGTATATATATCTATAAAAATTATATTAATGTATTGTGTACTCTGCATATTGTGTTTTATATGAGTGTATGCTTATATATAATCTATGTGCAAAAAGAAATCTACCTACAACAGCAGCATTCCTCCAACTAAAAGCACAGGCCCTTCCTTTTCTTCACTGATAAGACATGAGAGTCTTTGTAAGATCTTACTCTTTACCCTGATCATCCTTCCAGCGTAGGACTGGAACTGAGCTGTCGCTGAGAGCAGGAGCTGCTCTAAGTTGGTTTTTATTAGTGCCAAAGGCGAGCTCTGAGCAGTGAAGCACCCAGATGGGTTGGGGTGATGGTTGGACTTGATCTTAGAGGTCTTTTCCAACCTCAGTGCTTCTATGATTCTTCTTTCAGTATTCACATATTGGAATGGGCTCTTGACTACAGACCATAATACTCATCCTGTGTTTCTGCTTCTTTCTAGTGCTCCAGTCCAGGTCATCCACAGATCAGGAGCCCCAGTGCTTTCGCTGCTCCCGTACCAAGATGGATTTGTTGCCAGCCAAGGTAACTCGAGTGCTGTGTTGGGCTGCTAGAAATTCTACAACGGGATCGAGGAGCTTTGGGTTCTTTGGGTGTTGCTCTCGTACGTACACGTGCTGCCTGGCTGGGCAGTGTCCCTGCCAAAAAGGGGGTGTAGTGGGAGTTATAATACATGGTTTCTTTTTGCCTTGCGTTGTTTTTTTTGTTGTGTTTTTTCCCTGTGTTACTCCAAAACAGGGCCTCTAAGTTGCCTCTCAGCGATCAGAGCATCTTCCCACCTCTCTGCCATCTTCACTGCACTTTTCCCTCTTCCTGGGGGCTCCATACCCTGTGATCCGACAGAAACAGCACACCTAGTGCTGTTTGTAATCAAGAGCACAACTTGTTTCACTGACTGACCACTATTCCTTCCTTCCTTGGTACTCTTCCGCTCATGTAGGTGATGGAACCTGCTTTGTCATTCAGCAAGACCTCGATTATGTCCTCGATCTCACAGAAGCTGACTGTGACCCTGTGTACAAGGTAAGGAAAGTGATGTATCTCCCAAGAAAAAGGTGGTAGCGAAAGGCGACACCAGGTAGCAGGTGTTTGATCTTCACAGAATCACAGAATGTTGGGGTTGGAAGGGACCTCCAAAGATCATCTAGTCCAGCCCCCCTGCCAGAGCAGGGTCACCTACAGTAGGTCACACAGGACTGCGTCCAGGCGGGTTTTGAATGTCTCCAGAGCAGGAGACTCCACAACTTCCCTGGGCAGCCTGGGCCAGGGCTCTGTCACCCTCACAGGGGAAAAAGTTTTTTCTAATGTTTTTGTGGAACCTCCTGTGTTCCAGCTTGTACCCATTGCCCCTTGTCCTGTCACTGGACGCTGCTGAAAAGAGCCTGACTCTGTCCTCCTGATGCTCCCCCTTGATGTATTTATAAACATTAATGAGGTCACCCCTCAGGCTCCTCTTCTCCAGCTGCAGAGCCCCAGCTCCCTCAGCCTTTCCTCCTCAGGGAGATGTTCCATCCCTCCATCATCCCTGGGGCTGCGCTGGACTCTCTCCAGCAGTTCCCTGTCCTGCTGGAACTGAGGGCCCAGAACTGGACACAACATTCCAGATGTGGCCTCACCAGGGCAGAGCAGAGGGGCAGGAGAACCTCTCTCCACCTACCAGCTCCTCCCCTTCTACCCCAG